ATGACATTTTTACTCTAAAAAGTCACTCCTGTTACTATTCACTTATAACACCTTTTGTCATTTTGATTAAAACTCTAAGTTTTCAAGCTCTTTTCATTAGTTTTCCTTATAAAAATTTGGAGTTCACAGTGATATATTTGAAGTGGCAATATATTCAAGTGAAACTTTAAAGATCGGAGTTTTTGAAGCTATATTTTCAAGTGAAACTTTAAAGGTCAAAGTTTTTGAAGCTTTTCTTCTTGTTTGGTTGTTTATGATAATGCACTTGATTACATAATGAAGGTTATGTTTGTAACTCTTTTTACTTATTGTTTAATGACCTGTACATTTATAATCAGTGAGTTCTAAAATTTGTTTTGATTTAAGTTATTACTTTCTAGCATCAATATATACATTGTCTGACTTAAAAAAAAAAAAAAAAATTTAAGAGGGGTTTTTTTTTTTATAAATTTCGCACGTAGGCCACAAAATATCAAAGATGATCCCGTCTTATTGTAATTTTTGAAAAAAAGTTGCAGTATCAATTAATTATCAGTAACAGAATAAACCGTCCCCATATTTTTCATCAAGACCGTCAAGTTAATTGACTTCAAATGAAAAGGCACCACAGCATAGAGGTATTTTCACTAAAACTATATAATGATATTCCAATACGTAAAAGTGAAGATGTCCCATTTTGGGGAGGAGAATTGAGATCAAATTGGAGCAGCACGGTGCCACGTGTTCGTGTTCCAACAACAAAACATTATTCCAATCATATCCTCATATCATATAAAGTTGACACGTGGCTAAGGAAGGAAACACACTGATCCACACCTAGCATTTAGAAGTGTCAATCTTCAAGTAAATTACTTTGGATCACATACATTTAGTCATTTATATACCCCATGAATCCAACATAATCATTTTGTGATGATGATGATGTGATCTATATATTAGCGCTAGAGGAGGTGGGGCTGATTAATTTCTCGACCGATATTTTTCGAGCTATATTGGGAGAAATTTTTCCAAGTGCCGGGAACACCATGACACATGGTGTTCCCTCACACATTAGGATTTAGTTTTATTTATTTATTGAAATATAAAATTGAAGGATATTCAAGATGTCAAATCCTAATGTGTGAGGGAACACCATGTGTCATGGTGTTCCCGGCACTTGGAAAAATTTCTCCTATATTGGCATGCATTGATTCACTAGAACAAAAACAGTTCATCTACCATGTCAATTCTATCACGGGCATATATAGCTTATGGTAAAAACTATTCAATTACCACGGTCAAGTTTAACTCGTGGTAGATAACATTAATCCATCACGGTCAGAATTTGACCCGTTGTTAAAAGCAAATAATCTACAACAGATATTTAAATCCGTGATGGAATATCATAATTACCATGAAATATGCTCATAATAGTTACTTCAAACTATGACATCGTCTTTTGTGAAAACATTTGAAGGAGACGGGAGATTAAAAATTTGGAGGGCTGCCAAAATTTTGGCATGGCACCCAAAATCTCAACTCCCTATATTTCCATTTTGTTATCGATCTGTCGTCCAATACTTCTCCTTTTGTTATAATCATGATTTTTGTGTTGGATTCACAGGTACCTGCCTCCAATCTTGAGCTTCCAGTAACCCTTCACTTCTGCATCTACGGATCCACCCTCCAAAGTCTCTGTTTGGGTAAAATAGTTTTTTTTTTTTTTTAATTTTTTATTATGGGTAATGTTGAAATTGTTTACCTGATTAATTTATACATGTGCAGTTTTGTCTTAATTATTTGGTCTTTTTTTTTTCAGAATATTTTTTGTTTGATATGAACTTGCAGGTTGGTTTTTTCCTAAGTTCGTTTTTCTTGATGATTTAAGGTAAAAGAATCTGGTTGGTTTTTCAATGTAAAATAGACTTCTGGGCTTTCATATGGATTTCATTACTAGTGTAGTTGTGACATAATTTTAGCGTAAAGCTATACCACTTATCCTTCTGTTATCGCTTCAATAATAATAATGCAGGACAACCGTCAGGTATTCCACAAACAAACGATGCCTGGAGTGGTATAAAATTCATTACCTTTTGGGGCATTGCATGTACGCTTCACCAGTATAAGCTTCTATGGGATCTTGAGTTCGATTTTTCTTTTGTGTTCTTTGTGAATAACTTCATATGCTTTTGCTTGTTACATATGGCTCTTCCGTTGATGCCAGCTCAAGCCATGACTCAACAGGTAAATTTACTGTATTTATGTTCATATATATAAATTTGCACAATTTATTTTTCTCATAAATACATGAACGGCGTCTTTTTCTTTAGCCGATGAGCAGTGTATATATATTTCTCTCTTGTAGGCTACAAGGCATGCACATCGGGTATACATTGGTGGCCTTCCTCCCTTGGCTAATGAGCAGGTTATAGTTTTGGATTCTTTCCCAAGCACTAGTGTCACGCCCCGATCTCGACATACGTCCAGGATCGACACATGACGTCATCAAATACCCGTATCTCTAAGATACCCCGTCACCGGATAATGGCAAAACACAACTTAAGATCCAACTGCGCAATAATTCTTCGTAAACTTTATGGTTGCATCTAACATCCTTGTTAGACTGCCTACGAACTATTAATAGGGATCAAGCCATTCGTAGTTCATTATTTCACTACACTCGAATATTCATCACATAAATCGTTATGTCCCAACAATATACCACAATGCATAACACGCAATATTTCCAAGAACAAACGACGAAGCACAATCATATTCTCTAGCCATATTGATCAACAAATCTACTCATAGTGCCCACAATCACAATCAACTTAATTCCACATTCACATAATCAATAAAACACAATACACCAAAATGCAGGGCTAGTTCGGTTGAAGCCTACAACTCTGAAGTTGAACACGAATCCAAGGAACCCACAAGTCAAATGATACGATTTTGGATCACTCAATGAAATCCATCAACATTAGGTTTCGGACCATTCAATGGAACCAAAACACCAAGTAAGAGGAATTTCGGACCATCACTCAATGGAATCCAAACCAGGATACGATTCCGGACCATCATTCAACGGAATCACGGAGTGGAGTAGGAAGGATTCCAGACCATCACTCAACGGAATCCGAACCAGGACACGATTCTGGACCATCATAACGGAATCGTGGAGCACAATGCATAACAACCAATCAATGAACAACACATGAATCCATTTACTCAAGTTATAAAGGCTCAACGAAACAAGAAATGAAATAATGAAACGAGGGGTGAAACACGTTTCAAAGCAACAAACCCCATGCCAATGGGTTAACGGTCCACCATTAGCCCTCACCTTTCATCAAATCAAGCCAATCATACAAAACAAACCATATTTCCAATATGCACATTAAATCCCACTTCATAAAACTACATCGATGGCTAAATATAAAAATTAACAATTTATAGGACACATAATTATAAAATCATTTCATATTCACATGTATTAAAGTCATTCACATTTCATCATATCATACCATCTATGCAAATCATCCACCTTTCAAATATGCACGTCAAATCACATATCACGATCATCATCAGTACACAAGCCAAATCATGTTTAATAAATATAGGTCTATGGCTAAATATATATATACATACATATATATATATATAATCACATTTCAATAGAAATCACATTATAAAACCAAGTCGTATTCACATATGATACCAATATAAGAAAATTAAGGTAATAACCATATCACATATGTTAAAGTCACTCACCGAGATAAGCCGCAAAACCTCACAGGGCTTCCATTAATTCTAATTTTAACTAAATATAATGTTTTATAATGCATTGAGGTTTTGTGACGATCCAATGGTCGAATTATCGTCAATCACCCAAACAAGTGGCGGTCCAATTTGATCACCACACCAAACAATGGAATTTTGGGAAACCTTGCTAGACATAGTTTCACAGGGTCACTAGAAGGTATTTGGTACCGAGACAACACTCGTGGACGGTTTCACGCATTGCCACACGCAGTGGTAGTCAAGGTGGAGGGTTTAGAAACCCCGAATTTTCCAACAGTAACTAAATGAGTTCAAATTTACGTGGTAACTAGAGCTCAACAAAGGAAACACTTTTCACAATTAGGCCGACGATAAATTCTAACCGGAAACCGTCCAAATTCACCGAAGAAAATCGGATTTCTAGGGTTCTAAACACCCAACTCTAAAATGAATACGAAAGCACAAACTAAGCATACCAACTTGAAGATTATGAAGAGTAGATGAAGTTTCATACCTCACTCGAAGGAAAGGGTTGCCGAAATCACCGGAAAAATGATAAAACCACCAAAAAACTCGTGGGCTTTGTGGCTTCGAACTGCAAAGATGGAAAAGAAAATGGGAAATCTAACACTACAAAGATGTAGGGCTCGTCAAGAGCTTTCCATGGACACCAAGATCATCCAAAACGGAGCTCGGATGAAGGAGATACAAGCAGGTCAAGTTTGTGGTTAACGGGTCTAATTCACCCTCCAAAACGGGTTAGCAGCAAGCCCTTTTACCTTTTTTGTTTCTTTTTTGTTTGTTTGTTTGTTTTTTTTTTTTTTTTTTTTTCAGAAACCTTCCCCCCTTTTATTTGATTGGTCGTTCTCCTTCTAGCTGATTGGTCCTCTTATTTTTGCTTAAATCTGATAAGGCTTGAAAGTTTAATCGATTTAAAATCTGTAGTTTAGTAAGACAACTTCAAATGTCCGTAACTATACCGTTATAATTCGAACTCGTAAATGGCTTTCGCCTATACTTTCGTGGTTTCAAGATCTATTCGAAAATATAAATTGTGACCTCCAAAGGTCTACGGATTTTAAGCAATTAATTTTCAAACTTCAAACTTTGTAACTAGTTTAGTTAAAATCTAAATTCAAACAATTTAAAATAAATTCTCGAGAAATAATATAAAATCTCAATAATACAAATACATAGATTATAACAATGAATCCAGGAACGGGATTTCACAAATAACAAGTGTTTTGACTCTATACTGGAGTGGAGATGAACAGGGAATCTAGGCTAAAGTTTGATGCCATTTGTGTCATCACTCTAGAATCTAGGGATTTACTTTGTATATAAGGAAGCTTATAAGGTAGCTTTCTGTAGGTTGTTACAGGGCCAACTGCTATGGGTTACAAATAAGCCAAACTTTTGATTAAATGTTTTTCAATTTTTGAAATTCTTGTTTGCCTCTTTCTTGTTCAAAGTATTTTTCTTGCATTCTTTAAAAGACTTTGATGGAATGTTATCTTTTTGTCAGACAATTGCCACATTCTTTAGCCAAGTCATGGCTGCCATTGGAGGAAAATCTGTTGGTTCAAGTATGTGTAATCATAGTCTCACTTTCACTAGGTTCAACATGCAACTTAATGTATTACATGATTCAGGATCTCATGGGTTTTATCTGAGAGCAATGTGTTTTCTAGTATTTGAACTTGCAGGTGATGGAGTGATGAAAAAGCTATATGGAGTGATGAAGGAACTACATACATTGTATGTACAAAAGGAAAGACGCTTTTATGTGCATGCCAATGACACTTCGTTTTTAGTGAGCCTTCTTACCCCTATGATCATCATTCTTCTTGCAGGAAGGAGAGAGAACCTAAAGTGGTTATCAAATCTGCTGCAAGTAATTTGGGGTAAGTCTAGTATGACCATCAAGTTTTTGACGAAATGTCTCAAAGAGTTATGGAACGCGTTTGTAAACTGGGTTATTTGCTTCTCTATAAATTTGATATGAATTGAGTGGTCTTCTAGTTGCATTTGGTTACTTCGCGAAATCTTTCTCTCTAAATTTGTTTTTTCTTCTAGGATACAAAACATTCCTTTGTTAATCTCTCTACGAATTTGGTTTCAATTTTTAGGTGTCTAGATTTTGATGGTTTCCTAGACGGTGACGAGATGCACTCAAGTGATGATGTGAATGAAGCAAAAAGAGAAAGGGAAGAGGGCCAACAATGTACTACTTGTAATATTTGAATTTGTGATTTTTTATGTAGTTATTATATTGTAGTAAATATGGAATTTTGTTGGTTATTCTGTACTAAAATGTATAAATACAGATATATAAATATATTTGTTAAATAGTTTTATTAATTTTTTTTTTAAATTTTGGAAAATAATTTATAACGAGCATTAGCTGTGGTCAATTAGTAATCGACAACGGTCATAGCACGTGGTGTTAGATTCAAATTTACCATGGGTACAATTCGTGGTTATATTGCATTTGACAACGTGCATAGTTTGTGGTAGAAACTGAGATTTTTTATCACATCCAGAATACTAAAGAATACAGTATCCGTGGTGGATTGCAATTTACCACTGGTATTAACCGTGGTAGATGGGCTTTTTTCTACTAGTGATTCTCTATGACCAATCACAATTTCACGAATGCTCCAATACATCTAAGAAAGCATTAAAATCAGACGGCTAGGAAGTCTCCATTGGAATATCAGTAGGGTCAATATTAATTTTCACAAAGAGATTCTCCATTATCAAGGGTATATTGACCCTTGATAATAGAGTATGTACGTAGTTATTAAAGCGGTTTATATCAATTATATAATATTATGTGGATAGGAACTATACACAAAATAATAATATATTATTAACACAGGATATCAATGTAGCAGAATACCATAGATGCAATGTAAATTTTTTCTCACTCATCATCACCACCATCTACTGTGTGTTTGATTCAGTAAGTATTAGTCCTTGTAACTAGGATGTTTTGCTCTCTCTCTCTCTCTCTCTCTCTCTCTCTCTCTCTCTCTCTCTCTCTCTCTCATGAGGTGGGTGATGAGGAGGTTGTTGTGGGTTAATGGTAGTTATTAAATGGGGTTTTTGAACATTAGTTCTTGTAAAAGATTAAAATTTAAAAAAAACCTGGTGTTAGATTAAATATTCAATTTAATCCCTTGAAGAGTGCTTTTATCAAAATTTACATTCAATTTTTGTTATTTAATGTGTATTTTTATTTAATCTCTCCATATTAAATTTTAATTTTATTAATATGCACATATTTAGTTTTTTAATTATAAATGAATGTAAATGAGAAAATATTAAAAGACATTTGTGATACAAAAATATATAAATACATAAGTGTACAGAAATGAGTGTGCCGAAATATATAAAATTGACCTTTTTGTTCCAAAATATTTGAATATATAAATACATAAGTGTACAGAAATGAGTGTGCCGAAATATATAAAATTGACTTTTTTGTTCCGAAATATTTGAACCTACATGATTGTACCGAAATATATTATAATGAACCTAAATGTATTATATTGAATTAATGTACCTAAATGTCAATACTGAAATGTATGTACCTAAATATCAATACCGATATGTACGTACCAAAATGTACGTACCTAAATGTATATAATATATTGAATTAATGTACCTAAAAGTCAATACTCAAATGTGTATACCAAAATGTACGTAATGAAATGCATTATATTGAATCAATGTAATTACATGTTTGTACTGATGGATTTACCGAAATATTCAAATATATTAATGTACCTAAATAAAGAACATACAAAATTGTGACATCCCACATCACCCAGGGGAGTGATCCTTATATGTATATTCCCATCTCTACCTAGCACGAGGCCTTTTGGGAGCTCACTAGCTTCGGGTTCCTTAGGAACTCCGAAGTTAAGCGAGAAGGAGGCTAGAGCAATCCCATGATGGGTGACCCACTGGGAAGTTGCTCGTGAGTTCCCAAAAACAAAACCTTGAGGGCGTGGTCGGGGCCCAAAGCGGACAATATCGTGCTACAGTGGTGGAGTGGGCCCGGGAATTGGTCCGCCCCGGGCCGGGATGTGACAATTTGGTATCAGAACCTAACCCTGGTCGCGTGTGTGCCGACGAGGACGTCGGGCCCCTAAGGGGGGTGGATTGTGACATCCCACATCACCCAGGGGAGTGATCCTTATATGTATATTCTCATCTCTACCTAGCACGAGGCCTTTTGGGAGCTCACTAGCTTCGGGTTCCTTAGGAACTCCGAAGTTAAGCGAGAAGGAGGCTAGAGCAATCCCATGATGGGTGACCCACTGGGTTGCTCGTGAGTTCCCAAAAACAAAACCGTGAGGGTGTGATCGGGGCTCAAAGCGGACAATATCGTGCTACGGTGGTGGAGTGGGCCTGGAAAGTGGTCCGCCCCGGGCCGGGATGTGACAAAATTGCTATCGGAATATAAATTATAAAAGAATTAGTAACCTAAATGTAGACATTAAAATATATTATGATGAATGAAATAAAAATTAAATTTAAATGTAATTGATACATTAAAATAAAAATAAAAAGATAAATAAAACATCAAAATATAACTAATAAATGATATGATTAAATGTACTAGGTGTAAGAAGGATAAAAGTGATCCATGTGAGGGAGTTATCCATGGTCAAAACAAAGCCACTTGTCAAAAGATTAAATAGGTGGTTATACATATAGTTGGTTAGTTAGAATATTGTTGGAGTGAGTTAGTTGGGATAAGGAGGTAACTAAGGAAGAATACTTGTACTGCAAGTTTAGAAACCTTCTATATAAGTGGCCTATGTAATTCATATCAAGATGAATAAGAAAAATCATTCTCTTCTGATACAATTCTATCTCATCTCTTCTACCTATCTTCTTAACACAGATTTTAGCTATCTTAACATGGTATCATCGCCGGCCGATCCGGTGCTTCCGCTCAACCTCTAAAGCTTTTCTTTCTTTTCTATACCCTCTAGTTTGCATCTATCTGTGATAATCTTTGGCGACGGATAACGTTCACGTTGCTCAGAAAGTTGGTTTTTTCTCGTTTGCCCACCAACTGTTTGCTCAAACGTCTCAGACAACGATTATTCACGAAATCTGCAAATATGGTCACTGCTGCTCAGTTACAAATTGTTCAGTCGCCGATTACCAGTCTTCTCTCCATTGTCTCCACTTCTGTTACAGTAAAGCTTGATGATTCCAATTATCTTACTTGGAGTTTTCAGGTCCGATTGCTTCTGGAAAGCCATGGTATTATGGGATTTCTTGATCGTTCACGAAAGTGTCCTCCACGTTTCAATGCCAGTTCTGAAGTTGAAGGGGTTGAAACTGATGACTACCTGGTTTGGAAAATGCACGATCGTGCACTAATGCAGTTGCTCATTGCCACATTATCCACCACTGCCATTTCTTGTGTCATTGGATGCAACAGTTCTGCAGAGATGTGGTTGAATCTTACTGAGAGGTTCTCTGCTGTGACCAAAGCGACAATCTTTCAGATGAAGACCGAACTTCAGAATGTCAAGAAAGGGTCAGAATCGGTTTCTGTATATCTCCAAAAGATTAAGGATGCAAGAGATCATCTGGCTGCTGCTGGAGTTATTTTTGATGATGAAGACATTATAATTCTTGTCTTAAAAGGTCTCCCTGCAGATTTTAACACATTTCGATGTGTGATCAGAGGCAGGGAGAATGGGATATCTCTCAAAGACTTCAGGTCTCAACTCCTGGCTGAAGAAGCTATCATTGATCAGTCTTTTGACAGTTCTTCTGGTTTGTCCTTTGGTAGTGCCATGGTTGCTGGAAACCAATCTGACAAAGGGAAAGCACTTGTTCTTGATCAAGATCAACCACGATCGTCCTCTGACTCGTCTTTTAGGCACAATGGAGGATCCAGTATTCCTAATTCCAATCAGACTCCTGGATCGTATAACACTGGAAGTTATCATAACTTTGGTCATTTTAAGAGTAACAATTTCAGGGGCAAAGGGAGAGGCAGATTTCAATATAATTCAGGTCCTCGATTTTCCAATGGTAATCCTGGTATTCTTGGTACTCCAAAGCCATATCAATCTCACTGCCAGGATCACCCTTCTGAGATTCCTACGTGTCAAATATGCAACAAAAAGGGTCATGTTGCTGCAGATTGCTTTCAGAGACATGCCAATCCTACCTCGAGCTCTCCTATTCAGTGTCAGATCTGTTGGAAATATGGACACTCAGCTCTTCAATGCTATCACAGAAGTAATTTTGCATATCAAGGAAGGCCTCCACCCACGAATCTGAGTGCTATGCATGTCAATCATCAAGGGTCTGCATCTTCTGACCAGTTTTGGCTTGCAGACACTGGTGCTACATCACACATGACTTCTGACTTGGCAAATTTGGATCTTTCTAATTCTTATCAAGGCACAGATACAATTACCACTGCCAGTGGTGCAGGTTTGCATATTTCCAATATTGGCACGTCTAAATTGGTTGTTCCTCATCATTCCCTCACTCTTAAGAATGTATTACATGTTCCAAAGCTTTCTCAGCATCTGTTATCTGTTTATCAACTATGCAAAGACAATAGGTGCAGATTCATTTGTGATGATGTGTCTTTTTGGGTTCAGGACAAATCCACAGGGACAATCCTACTCAAGGGGCTGTGTAGAGCTGGTCACTATCCTATACCACTCACCATTTCACAGAAGCCAGATTCATCACCTACATTTCATTCATGTTTCTTTGCAAAACCAGTTCATTCAAGCATATGGCACAAAAGGCTAGGGCATCCATCCAATGCAATTACTTCTGTGATTCTACATCAATCTCAAGTACCTGCATCACTAGACACATGTTCATACATTTGTACACCATGTTTAGAGGGCAAGTTCACCAAATTACCATTCCACTTCCCTGTAACCAGATCTGTACACCCTTTAGAAAAAATTCACAGTGATGTATGGGGCCCTGCCCCTTTCATATCCTATGAAGGATTTAGGTATTATGTAACCTTCATAGATGATTGTACTCGTTACACATGGATTTTTCCATTAAGAAATAAATCAGAAGTGTTTGCTACCTTTGTTCATTTTCATTCCTACTTGACTACACAGTTTTCAGCTATAGTTAAAACTTTTCAAAGTGATGGTGGGGGTGAGTATACAAGTACCAAATTTAACCAGTTTTTAGCACACCATGGAATTTTACATCACAAATCCTGTCCCTATACACCTGAACAGAATGGTTTAGCAGAGAGGAAACACAGGCATATTGTAGAAACAGCTGTCACCCTTCTTCAAACTGCCAAACTCCCTAACAAATTTTGGGCTCATGCTTGTGCTACAGCCACTTACTTGATCAATAGGATGCCATGTGCTTCTTTACACATGAAGTCCTCTTTTCAGATGCTATATCAAACTGTTCCTGAGATTACTCATCTCCGGGTTTTTGGGTGTGCATGTTTCCCTTTGCTCAAACCATATAGTTCTTCTAAGCTTCAACCTAAGACAACAACCTGTGTGTTTTTGGGATATGCCAGTCAATACAAGGGGTTCCTATGTCTAGAGCTTGCCACTGGGAAAATTCGAGTGTCCAGACATGTTCTATTTGATGAAGCCAGCTTCCCTTACTCAACCTTCACTATGTCACCCACTTCAAAGCCATGTTCTGTATCAACAGTTCCATTGCATTCACCCATGATATCTCCAATCATTACATCCACAAATCAAGCAGTCACACCTGTATTGCATTCCCTATCATCTCCCACCACAGAGTCATTATCCATGCATTCATCTAGTGCTTCAGATTTTTCTTCTGCATCTCAACCCTCAGTGTCTTTGGCACCTGTTGCATCCTGTGCTCCAGTATTCGATTCTCTTTCTCCTCCTGCCACATCTGCACTACACATACCCTGTACTTCTTCCTTACCACAATCACTTCCACCCAGCTCAAGTCCACAGCACCCTATCCCTGTGGATCCTGATTTCCACCCTGAGAGACTAAATGTGGTTCTGCCTATTCCCATGAATGTGCATCCCATGCAAACACGGTCTAAGAATGGGGTGTTCAAAAAGAAAGCTTTGGTAGCTACACTTGTTTCTGAACCAAAGAATTTCAGAACTGCTTCTCAAGTATCTGAATGGCAGATTGCCATGCAAGAGGAAATCGAGGCTCTTCATTCTCAACAGACTTGGTCTTTAGTTCCTTTACCACCCAGTAAGAACCTAGTTGGATGTAAATGGATCTACAAAATAAAAACACATGCAGATGGGTCTGTGGCTCGGTATAAAGCCAGACTTGTAGCACAAGGGTTTAGTCAAGAGGAGGGGGTCGATTATTTGGAGACTTTCAGCCCTGTGGTCAAACCTACAACTATAAGGTTGATTTTTGCCTTAGCTGCTCAATTCAAGTGGACTCTTAGGCAGCTCGATGTAAAAAATGCCTTCTTACATGGTCTCCTTCAAGAGGAAGTCTATATGGCCCAGCCTCCAGGGTTTGAGAGTGTCACCCATCCTTCACACTATGTTTGTAAACTTCACAAGTCATTATATGGGCTCAAACAGGCTCCTCGAGCCTGGAATGACAGATTCACTAGTTTTTTACCAAGCTTGGGATTTCAAGTATCAAAGGCTGATCCATCACTGTTTGTACAACAGTCTTCCAAGGGCACGGTGTTGTTGCTTTTGTATGTTGATGATGTCATTCTCACAGGCAGCAGCTCTTCATTGATCAATCAAGTGATCACTGCTCTCACTGCAGAATTCGAAATGAAGGACTTGGGTCTTCTGCACTACTTCCTGGGTTTGCAGATCAGTTACACATCAGCTGGATTGTTTGTGTCTCAAGAAAAGTATATTCATGAGTTAGTTGATAAAGTTGACCTCCAGGACTCTAAACCGTGTTCTACACCGTGTCTTCCATATCACAGACTGCTCAAGGATGATGGGAAGCCATATCACAGTCCAGCTCAGTATAGAAGTATTGTTGGCGCTCTGCAGTATCTTACGTTCACCAGACCTGACATTGCATTTTCTGTCAATCAAGCTTGTCAGTTTATGCACAATCCTATGATTTCTCATGTTGTTGCAGTTAAAAGAATCCTTCGTTATCTCAAAGGGACATCAACTTTTGGCATTCATTTTAAACCTGGACCATTGCATCTGCAAGCTTATAGTGATGCAGATTGGGCAGGTGATCCAAATGATCGCAGATCTACTTCAGGCTTTGTTGTCTTTCTTGGTTCCAATCCCATCTCATGGGCCTCAAAGAAGCAACACACAGTCTCTCGATCATCTACAGAGGCTGAGTATCGAGCTTTGGCAATCACAGCTGCAGAACTTGCCTGGATTCGCCAATTATTCTGTGATATGCATATTTCTTTACTTTCATCTCCGATGATCTATTGTGACAATGTCTCAGCTATTGCCCTCTCTACCAATCCTGTGTTTCATGCCAAATCCAAGCACATTGAGATCGACTATCACTTTGTCCGTGAGAGAGTTACTCGGGGTGATCTTCACGTTCAACATGTGTCTTCGACAGACCAATCCGCTGATATTCTAACAAAGGGTTTGTCTGCGCCACTGTTTCAGCACCATTGTACCAATCTGATGCTTAGTGCTCTAGAGCATCAGCTTGAGGGGGGATGTAAGAAGGATAAAAGTGATCCATGTGAGGGAGTTATCCATGGTCAAAACAAAGCCACTTGTCAAAAGATTAAATAGGTGGTTATACATATAGTTGGTTAGTTAGAATATTGTTGGAGTGAGTTAGTTGGGATAAGGAGGTAACTAAGGAAGAATACTTGTACTGCAAGTTTAGAAACCTTCTATATAAGTGGCCTATGTAATTCATATCAAGATGAATAAGAAAAATCATTCTCTTCTGATACAATTCTATCTCATCTCTTCTACCTATCTTCTTAACACAGATTTTAGCTATCTTAACACTAGGGACTAAAATTGGATTTTAATCTTACACAAGGTTAAAGTCAAACTCATCTTTTTTAAGGATTAAAATGAAGTTTCCTAATAAATGGTGATGTCCCACTAAAATTATAACTTTTACCACTGTGCCTGCCAACCATTTGTATATATATTGAAGCCCAATTCAATCTCATTGCGAATACCCTCCCTTATTTTAGTCCTCCCACTCACTCACTACCTTTGTGAGCTAAAGTGTTCTCTTTAGCTCCTCAACTCTCCAACTCTTTGCCTCTCCCTACATTTGAACAAAAGAAAACCACCTAACCCTCATGTCTCACATTTGATAAGTACACCCTCTCTCTCTCTACTTCCCATTATTCTCTCTCTCTCAAATTTCAGCCTAATCTCATTCATTCATGGGTAACCCTAATTAGGTTTTCTTCTTTACTAGTAAAAGTAGTACTACCTGAAGCTTATATATAACTACTGATCATATATGGACTTTCTGAAAGAATTGGAAGGAAAGCGAGTTCATGATCCTTTTGCAGCAAACATGGCAACTAAACCTACAGCAAAGCGCATATGGGTTCCGGGGCCCATCATCGTCGGAGCTGGTCCTTCCGGCTTAGCAGTTGCTGCTTGTCTTAAAGAAAAAGGTATTCCAAGCTTGATCCTTGAAAGGGCTAACTGCATAGCTTCGTTATGGCAGCTCAAGACCTATGACCGTCTCCGGCTTCATCTACCCAAGAAATTCTGTGAGCTCATACTCATGCCATTCCCTTCAGATTTTCCCACTTACCCAACAAAGCAGCAGTTTGTGGGTTACCTAAATGCTTACGCTGAAAATTTTGATTTGAAGCCTGCTTTCAACAGGACAGTGGTGAGTGCAAGGTATGATAGTAGATGTGAGCATTGGTTTGTTAATACTTTGGGATTGAAAAATGAGGAGACTGAGTATGTTTGTCAATGGCTAATTGTTGCCACTGGTGAAAATGCTGAGGAAGTTGTACCACAATTTGACGGGGTGAGTGAGTTTGGTGGGCCTATCGTCCACACTAGCTCTTACAAGAGTGGTGAGCTGTTTAGGGGAAAGAAGGTTTTGGTGGTTGGATCTGGTAATTCAGGCATGGAGGTTAGTTTGGATCTATGCAACTACAATGCACGCCCTTCCCTAGTCGTAAAAGATTCGGTGAGCATACTCAACTCAGAACCCAATTTTTGTTTTTGTTTTTGTTTTTTTTTTCCTTGAATATGATCGATTTATTTCATCATTTATGGAGGAATACAGCTATAGTGGTAGAGCAGTTGCCCCACACAAAAGTTACGAGAATCTAATTCGAACTCTCCTCCATTCTTGATATGGTTTCATTTCAATGCTTCTAGTTTTCCCTAATTACTTTAAAAAGTAATGTTAGAGTCCATTTCATAGTGCCTCCGACTAGATATTTTAGAATAACTAATGAATTTGAGAGCTTACACTTTTGATGAAAAGAAGTTGTTAATTACTATAACAATCAGGAAATGCTAAGGAGACTCTCTAAAAAATGAGACTCTCTCAAAAGTGAGACCCTCCATGAACACTCTGTCACCTCATATATTTGGCATAATATTTTATAATATTGACACGAAAATTAACGTTAAATTGTGAGATGTCAGAGAGTCCATAGTCCCACTTTGAGAGAGTCTCCTTAACATTTCTCTAAGCAATCTATTGATGGAAGTACTTTAAGTTTTTTTTTTTTTTTAACACACATGCTTAAGTTTTGGAAGATTGGTGGTAGGTGTTCACCAAGCTAGCAATAGTTTGGCATGTACCCTAGAGCCAATTTAGTAAACGAAGACTCTAAACAAAAGTTGCTTCATTCTTCTCTTTACTTTCTTGAAATTCGTTTGTATGCGCAAACATTGGTCAGAAACATAAAATCTTATGCCATATATGTATAAAAAAAAATCTATGTGCTAGCTAGCTTTCCCATATATAGAACGGTATTGTTTTGCAGAGAATCGGCCAGTGGTATACACGCTTACTACAGAAACTAAACTAGAATATACATTCAAGAAGAAAAACTCCACGCACAAGTTATCATGCATCTTCCGGTCCTTTTTTTTTTAATGCTTTTAGAAAACCCTTTTTTTGCCGAGCTTAATCAAATTAGCTAGAGTACTGTATTTTTCCATTTGCAACTAAGTCCGAATACTTGTTTCTGTAATTTATCGGATGTATAAGGTAACAACCTTTTATTTATTAATTTTCTTTAAACATACAATTCTAAATTTGTTTTGTTTTGCAGGTGCACATCTTGCCGCAAGAGATACTGGGAATATCAACTTTTGGATTGTCCATGTGGTTGCTCAAGTGGCTCCCCATGCCCTTTGTGGATCATCTTTTGCTTCTTGTTGCACGCTTCATGCTCGGAGACACTGCTCGGTTTGGAATCTACCGCCCTGAGCGTGGCCCTCTTGAGCTCAAGAGCATGACTGGCAAGACACCTGTTTTGGACATTGGCGCCCTTGCTAAGATCAAAACGGGCCACATCAAGGTACTTAATAATACAATTAATTAAGTTAATCACGTCATCGTATCATTACGTCACTCTCCATTATGCATAAATTAAAATTAAATATGACTAATTACTTGAATAAATCATGTAGGTTTGCAAGGCAGTAAGGCAACTAAAGCATCAAGCTGTGGAGTTTATAGATGGAAGAGTAGAGAATTTCGAAGCCATCATTTATGCAACGGGCTACAGAAGTAATGTAATGTCTTGGTTAAGGGTATGTATCATCATGAGGAATTGGTTCAAGTTATCAAAAATCAAATCATAATTACTGAAGAAAAAATCAAACATCGATGACATTATTAAAAAAACTGATCATTTTAGTAATTCGGATTTCAAAATTGATCAATTTGGCCAATTTTGTTATGTAGAGACCACTTTGTTTGATTAATTAATTAATAAATATTATTTATTCCTGAATGTAGGTATATGGAAATATATAATTGATGAAATTTTGTTGTGTTGTGATCAGGAAACGAGCATGTTTTCTGAAAAAGATGGGTTGCCTCGGAAGCCATTCCCGAACGGATGGAAGGGGGAATGTGGGTTGTACTCAGTGGGGTTTACACAACGTGGTCTGCTGGGTGCATCTCTTGATGCAAGGAGAATTGCAGAGGATATTGAGCATAGCTGGAAAGCTGAGGCCACGCATTTCATGGCTTTCACTACTTGTGCACTGCCACCGCCACCACAACCTGCTGTTTCAATTAATTAAGTAAAACTACCTGCGTGCATATTTTATACTACTGATGATGAAGAATATCAAGATTATAAGAAAAGAAACAAGTGCATGATCACTTTATGCAGCTGCCATTGGAGGAGGGAATAGGGTGGGAAAAAGGTTGTGAGATCTTCCAATCATTCAATTATTATAGTAAAGACGAAGGGATGGCCGATGTAACAAAAGTTTAATGCTTCTTTTGGCCTTTGGGAGGAGGAGAAACTTCACCTATCATGGATGGCGTAGTTCTCATCATCAATGTGTACAGTACACATCTTGTAAATTACCACTTTTTACTTTAGTTTGCTAGATAGGATTATATTAGGAGGATTACTGTTTAATTAATTAAGAAAGGGCTTGGGGTTTTTTATATTTGGTTTTCTAGGTTTTATAGTTTTTAGTAACTGATTTTATGATATGGTGGTGTGAAATGTGAAGTATAAGGTATAAAGTGCATTTTAATGTTAATATTTGTGATTGGTGTATATAGAATATATATATATATATATATATATATGATATTCCATTAAGACTCGTATAATTCTATCTATAATTTTTGGATATGTGTTTTCTTATGTACATAATTAGTGTAGTTCTTTGATGTCACGCTCTCAAACTCAAGGCCAAACTGTTCTTAAATGTGGCACTAGAATTTGTGGTGCGAGGTCTTACACCTGAAAACTGTTAATAAACTTTAGTGATCAAGAGAACCATTTCCACAACGAAGCGATAGAAACAAACCCTCACTTACCAAATGTGCAATAATGTTAGCCGGGAGCTATATATATATATATTAAGTGCTTTTAACTATGAAATTGAGTTTTGAGGGGCTAATTTGTGTTTTAATATAACTTCTATTCACTATATGTTTATAAATATATGTAAAAACAATAGAACATTCAAATGAACTTAGACCTAGGGACCATATATATAACAAGTATCTAATGAGAAAGTAAAAAGTGATTGGAAAAGAGAAGAAAAGAAAGGTTCTTTACGCCAAATGAAAAGGTCCCCATAATGTCCATGAAGATGAAAGTGGCCCTCATGCATGAATCATGATCATCATCATCATCATCAGGTTCCCAAATCTGTATTGTACAGATATAATCTTAGCAAATATTTGATGATCAATCATTAACTGTTATTCTTATTGCCTTATACGGCCCTTATCAGTCAGCCTTTACTTCCTATCAATTTTTCGGACCACCATTACCAGCAGCTTCATGACTCATGATCATTCGTAGAATATCCACCACAACTATACCTTGTCAATACTTACGGATCGTCTAACATTTATGCCAATTATATATTGTGAATATATATGAAGTCACGTTCATACTTGATTGTTGAAAATTATATATGTGAACCAATAACCGATCGAGGCGGGATGGATCAGTTTCATATCTTAGCAAGTGATTATGACTAACATCTGAATTATTATTCTGTGCGTTGACAAGTTGTATGATTAAGAGACAAAGGAAAGTACCAATTAATTCCTGATAGAACAAAAGTTATAGGCTAAATGAGTCACAAACGATCACCCTTAGATAAGATTTTGAAACTTCATAGTTTGAGAAAACTCTCGACTTTCAATTCATAAAGATAAGAAGATGATTTAAATACAATCCTAAAAAATGTTTAATAGTCATAGCAAACCCTAGTTACAGAAAGTAAAAATAAAAAGGAAAGCCAAAAAAATTCCAAAAAGAACGTACAACTTAGTCGCGGCGAAGCGGTGTGAGTTGGAATCATTTCTTCATTTCCAGTTTCAAAAAGGTATATTAGGCCAAAAACAAACACGTCAAACATAAAGTACACTATTCACACCTAAACTTTGGCAGTCATAGTATATTGACATGGTAAGATTTAGTAACTAAACTATATTGTAAATACTTGAGTTAAATTATAGGGTAAGATATATAATTATTGGAAACGAGAGAAAAATCTGTAGCAGTACGCATGATACTGACAATGACAAATACATTTGCTACAATTGAGGGTGTTAGTTAGGGTTTAAAGATTTGTTGTTGGCGGGTTTTATTCCGACCGATTGGAACTGATGAAGCATGATACAAATTGAATCTTCTAGTTCAGCATGAAGACAATACTAGTAGTAAACTTAGAGAGAGAGAGAGAGAGAGAGAGAGAGAGAGAGAGAGAGAGAGAGAGACTATCAACATCTGTGAGGGATTTCAAATTCTAAAACCCTAACAGGACCAGCAAGTGTGCCCTACTAATAATTGCCTGGCGGCCATTTGGCCCATGAGATCCCGTAATACTGTACATATTTGATTAAAGTCCCCTTAATTATATATACAATATATAGTCCTGCTCTCCTACTCCTTTTACTGCCGACTATTTTGCAATCGTATTTTATATCCTTATATTTTATATATACTAAGCATTCCAACACTTCAATTAAAAAAAAAAACTTCCAAGCTAGCTAGGTCAATTTTCAAGAAAAGCTTACTGAGCTATAGAGAAGGAAAGTTTCGATGATCAGATAATGTGACAATTTGCTCTCTTTGCATGAGCTGGAGCATCCATATCCCAAGCAATGCATGCTTGAATTCCCGCCGACTTACCCCTATTGATTTTTTTTTCCTGAAAAATCTCCAGTGAATCCTTTTTCTAAATAGATAGCAATTTTTTTTCTTTGCTAATTTGGTTGGAATTTTAATTTAATGACAACATTAATTTCATCGGACCAACCAGCTAACGGCCAATCTTGCTCCACTACATTCATGAGATTCTACAGTTTAGGGAGCAATGCAATCATTTTTCATTAAGGATCTTTTCCGGCCCTCTTTCACGAAGTTTCTCACTGTTCGGCCATGTTCGGGATATTTCTTATTACAAAGGTCTTTGGTTCAAGGAAAATCTAGAATTTCTTCTACATGCTTTACTTGGGGATTGTAATCGTATAAATAGTTGATTTTTCTTTATGTTTATATGGAAGCAGTAGGTTGCATTAGTTACAATCTGGGATATTACGTTTATTCTGACTCGCCTAATCCATTAAGGCATGAGCTAAATTTTGTTATCTTTTTTATTTTTTTGGAAAAAAAAAGATATTATCTATACTACAGGAGAGGGGAATGGACTAGCAATAATGTAGTTCAATTCGCTTTTGGCGAGAATTGAACCTACGACCTCTTACTTACAAAGTACAAAGGAATACCACTAGACTATAATACTAAATGACAATCCTGATTTTATTGTTACTTACAATACATCGTTTTACTTAAGTGATTAGATCCCTTTTAATTACGTATGCAAACTAAAGTTTTCAAGGTCTGGATAGCTGTTGCTGTGTGTTAAACATTGCATGACCGACCCTCAACCACCTTTGAGTTGCCTTGCAAATTACGACGTAAATGGTCCAGATTACACGTGATGGCCAGGCGTATGATATGTGAGGCACCCCTGGTACAGCTTTCCCTCTGTGTACGAACACATGGTGCACATGCTGGTCGATTTAGACCGTCGAATTTTGATGGATTTATTGCCTTTATTGTTCGTGGTCCTTAATATTTATTGGCTAGGGCAAGTAACTCTCTCTCTCTAATGGCGACTAAACCCTAAAAATTCCTGAAGGACCATTTTGTCATGTCGTTAGATTAAATGAATGAATGAATGAGTAGTCTTATATTTAAGGAGAAATTAGGTTCTCATCTTTTTCATTCTTACTCTATTGATTAAAATCTTATACCTTTTTAACTTTTGATCAATGTCCTTAGGTTTTAATGAATGTCATTATTTCAATAATAAAATACTAGCATATGGGCACACACAAAGTGTGTGAGAATTTTTTTATTTTTATTTTTTTGAAATAGAAGGACAGAGGAAGAGAGTGATAGAGAATGTGGAAGTGGGAATTTTTTTTTTTTTAAATTAGAGATATGTTAGGATTACATGTAGGTGAGGCTTTGAAAAAAGAACAATAAAATTTGGTTGTGTGAAATTACATTTCTACCCCATATTTCTTATTCATGTTCTGTTTTAATTAGAGGGTTAAAATGGTAATTTCATAGGATTTTGGTTGACAATGAGTGTTTTATTAATTAGTAGAGATTTACATGTCAAGATAATTAAATTTTATTACTAAATATATTCATGTAATAATATATTTATTTAATGTTAGAAATGTTACGTTTGGTACATTTATATTTATGACTAAACTTTGTATCTTATATTTCTATTTTTAGTTTGTACACATTTTTAATTTGCAACTTTTTTTTTTTTTTAATTTGTATCATTTTTCTTTACAGTTTCAAATTGTACCCATATGTTCCCATATTTTTAAAATTTTTATTTGTACTCATATTTTTTTTTCCCATTTTATTTGTGCCTATAATTTATTTATAATGTACCCATGTATCTTTAAAAATGTACCACTTGTTATATGTAAAATTTACCAATTTTTTACTGTAAATCTATTTAATTTTTTTTAATCTAAAATGTATCCATTGTTGTTTATATAAAATGTACGCATTGTTTTCTATATAAAATGTACCAATTTTTTTTTAATATAAAACTTTCCATTTTTTGCATAAAATGAACCCACAATTTTTAAATTTATAACTACATACACCATTGTACTCATATAATTATATGGGTACATTTTTTTAAAATATTTTTATGGGTTACATATTAAAACATTTTACTTTTGGAATAATGTTGAAATTGTACCCCATAGATAATTATATATGGCGAATGTACGGGTACATTCTTTTGACATGTGACAACTATTTTATCATTCATAACAATGTTTTCTTTTGGTCAAATTCATAACAATGTTGGATACATTTTTTTGGCACTTTTTAACACTGTTTCCAATTGATTGATACATATATATATATATATATATATATATATATATATATATGCAAACATGTACTTAACATCTATTAATATACATTTTCAAAAGGAATTATATTGCTATATTGATTTTTTATTCAATTAAAATTTTGAAAAAATTTCCATATTATTTGTTGGCCCTTTTTTTATAGCTCATTAGATGTGAGATTTTAAACACCATAAAATCTCATGTTTTATTGTTGACATGGAAATATATTAATATTAATATGTTAGGGTGTACAAAATCAAAGGACTTTGATAAAAAATTGAAAATTACTAAGATTTTAATCAATGAGTATTAGTGGTTAAAGACCGCATCCAAAATTTTCCTATATTTAATTAAATTACTAAATTTAGTAAACCCTAAAAAAATATGCGATAAGCAAATCTGGTAAGGCCACCAGAAGTTGGCATGAAAACGGATCTAAATTTGTGAGATTAGAGTCACTTTATTACGCAGATGAAAGGGGCAAGACATGCAGGCGCGAGGGCGTGTGAGTAGGAACAGGACGACTTGTCAGAGGCATGAGGGAATTTCGAGATGGACATGACTGCTACTACTCGATCGATCGTCCCTTCTACAATTTCGCACGCTA